TTATACATTATTAGTGGGTCTTATGGTTGTGGAAGGCATATATTCAGTCCGGGTATAATTTCACAAGCTCTGAATTCATTAGATTATTGCTGACTGTTATAAATGCAGTGTATTTGACCTTTAATTGTACAACAAAGCTTATTTAGAGAAAACGTTTTTGATTTAAAATCAAGCTATATATCGTGAATCGCCCAAAAGTTTGAAAACATTGAGATATGAGTTTTAGGCCATATCGCCCAGCCCTAACCTGACCACAAACGAACATTTGAAAGCGGTCACAGGTGTCTTTAACTCATCTGCCAACATTGGTCTAGTGTAGTCAACCAATTTATACTCTTGATATCCATTATTATATACACCAATTTATATGGCACTACTCAATTATAAGCCTGGAATCTTGTCGAAAAAAAAATACAATTGCCACTATGCCTCTTTAGTGGAATCTTTTTTCTGGAAGGCAGAGTGTAGGCCCTACCTGCCGCACAAAACCAATGAAGAAGCAGAACTGGGTGCACTGGTTTGTTTTTAGTTAGTCTCAAGTTGATTATGTGTGTAGTTTGTAACATTGCCAAATGGGACAGATAACCTATATGGATAATGCCTTTTAAGTAAGCCCTATATCATACAGTATATCATTTTCAATAGGTATCAACCAAGTATCTTCATATGGGACTGTCAGGAAGAAAGGAGCTTTGTTTCAGCTCACCCAGTTCTAGACCAAAGGTGTCTGGACAGATAGACCATGTGAGAAGTGTGACACTGCATACATCCTTTGTATTCTCCTTAATCGCAATCGCCAAATTATCCTGAAATAGAATACCAACACTGACCTGTCACCTTATTGACACATTTCTTAACTGGCATACTTCATACAGAGAGAAAGAGAGAATTGCCTTTAATAATTCCGATACCTTCAGAAAGTATTCATACCCCTTGACTTATTCCACTTCTTCTCACCAATCTACATACAATATCCCATAAGGACTAAGTGAAAACATGTTTTTAGAAATGTTTGCAAATAATTACATTTACATAATGTTAAGTTGCGTCAATTCAAATCTGGTATTAGGAACAAAAGAGGTCAATACACATCTTCTAAAATAGACTAGTATTTTAATTAATGCAAACCACTTCAATGGTAAATATGATGTTCGTATATACGGGTCCACTGAAATACCACGCAGGGCACTCCATTGTTCTAAGTTCTTCTTCAAATACTCTGACAGAGATAGTTCCCGCTCCCTGCTGGCCAATCAGAGTAGAGACTGAGCGTGGTTTAGACTTACTCAGCCAATCGTTGGCGGACAGGCTGGTCCCAGACCCTTGGCGCTTTACCGTTGCACACTGTTGCCAGGCATAAGTTGTTATCATCACACCCTGTCTCGAGTCAGCACCCATAGACACCGTTCCCCTGTACTCTTTGTACCTACGTCCTTGGACGGTTCACAGATCACAAAGAGGCAGTGTTCGTGTATGTGAGACACAAGTTCTTATCTCCCCCTACTCCCTAAAACAGCTCCTCACATTAATCACAGCTTGTTAGGTTAAACAATTTATATCAGTACAGTACAAACCTTTTATGTTTAATCATTAATGCATTCTTTCTAAGCTAGGCATCACATCCAGTTACAAGAAAATAGATCCCCACAATAAGTATTCACACCCCTGAGTCAATACTTTGTAGAAGCACCTTTGGCAGCAATTACAGCTGTGAGTCTTTCTGGGTAAATCCACACCTGGATTGTGCAACATTTGCCCATTATTATTTTCAAATTCTTCAAGCTTTTTATTTTATTTATTTATTTATTTAACCTTTATTTAACTAGGCAAGTCAGTTAAGAACAAATTCTTATTTACAATGATGGCCTACCAAAAGGCAAAAGGCCTCTTGCGGGGACGTGGGCTGGGATAAAAAAAATAAAATATCAGACAAAACACACATCATGACAAGAGAGACACCACAACACTACATAAAGAGAGACCTAAGACAACAACATAGCATGGCAGCAACACATGACAACACATCATGGTAGCAACACAACATGACAAGAACATGGTAGCAACACAACATGGCAGCAGCACAACATGGTAGCAGCACAAAACATGGTACAAACATTATTGGGCACAGACAACAGAACAAAGGGCAAGAAGCTCTGTCAAATTGTTTGTTGATCATTGCTAGACCACCATTTTCAGGTCTTGCCATAGCTTTTCAAGTAGATTTAAGTCAAAACTTTAACTCGGACACTCAGGAACATTAACTGTCTTCTTGGTAAGCAACCCCCTTGTAGATTTGGCCTTGTGTTTTTGGTTATTGTCCTGCTGAAAGGTGAATTCATCTCCCAGTGTCTGGTGGAAGCAGACTGAACCAGGATTTCCTCTAGGATTTTGCCTATGCTTAGCTCCATTCCGTTGATTTGTTATCGAATAAAAAACTCCCCAGTCCTTAACGATTGCAAGCATACCCATAACATGATGCAGCCACCACTATGCTTGAAAATATGGAGAGTGGTACTCAGTAATGTGTTGTTAATTGCTTTGCCACATTTTTTTGCAGTATTGCTTTAGTGCATTGTTGCAAACAGGATGCATGTACAGGCTTCCTTCTGTTCACTCTGTCAATTATTTTTGTATTGTGGAGTAAAAACAATGTTGTTGATCCATCCTCATTTTTCTCCTATCACAGCCAATAAACTCTGTAACTGTTTTAAAGACCATTAGCCTCATTATGAAATCCCCGAGCGGTGTCCTTCCTCTCTGGCAAATGAGTTAGGAATGACAACTGTATCTTTGTAGTGACTGGATGTATTGATACAACATCCAAAGGGTAATTAATAACTTCACCATCTACCAATAGGTGCCCTTCTTTGGGAGGCATTGGAAAACCTTCCTGGTCTTTGTGGTTGAAATTCACTGCTCGACTGAGGGACCTTATACATAATTGTATCTGTGGGGTACAGAGATGAGGTAGTCATTCAAAAATCATGCTAAACACAATTATTGCACATAGAGTGAGTCCATGCAACGTATTATGTGACTTATTAAGCACATTTTTACTCCTGAACTTAATGAGGCTTGCCATAAGAAGGTTGAATAATTACATCACACCCTGATCTGTTTCACCTGTCTTGTGCTTGTCTCCACCCCCAACCAGGTGTCTCCCATTTTCCCCATTATCCCCTGTGTATTTATACCTGCGTTTTCTGTTTGTCTGTTGCCAGTTCGTCGTCTTGCCAAGTCTTACCAGCGTGTTTTCCCGTTTTCCAGTCTTGCTGTTTTCTAGTACTCCCGGGACTGACCTTTCTGCCAGCCCTGAGCCTGTCTGCCGTCCTGCACCTGTCGGACTCTGACCTAGTTACGAACCTCTGCCTGTCCTCGACCAGCCCTTTGCCTGCCCCCCGTGTTATATAAATTATCTGAGAACTGAACCATTCGCCTCCTGTGTCTGCATCTGGGTCTTATCCTGAGTCGTGATAACTTATTGACTCAAGACATTTCAGCTTTTCATTTTTTATTAATTTATAAACATTTCCAAAAATATAATTAAACTTTGACATTATGGGGTATTGTGTATAGATCAGGCTGTAACACAACAAAATGTGGAAAAAGTCAAGGGGTGTGAATACTTTCTGAAGGCACTTTATGTTTGAAGCTTTTAGGCTATTTGCATGTACATTTCTCCCAATAAATATATAAAAGAAAAGAACTAGCAATTTTTCATTCAAATAAACTAGATAAAAAATACAAAAATGAAATCAATGAAGCTCCTTTTCGCTTTGTAGTGTGCAATCACATAATCCTCACCCCCCTTCAGTTCTGGCCAAAATCTCTTGCTACCATGGCAACAACCAAATTATCAGGATTTGCGTTTTAGTCCTTGAAGGTATATATATATTTTTATTTTATTTTACTTGGCAAGTCAGTTAAGAACAAATTCTTATTTACAATGACGGCCAAACCCAGACGACGCTGGGCCAATTGTGCGCCGCCTTATGGGACTCCCAATCACGGCTGGTTTTGATACAGCCTGGAATCAAACCAGGGGGTCTGTAGTGACGCCTCAAGCACTGAGATGCAGTGCCTTAGACCGCTGCGCCACTCGGGAGCCCAAGATTGTTGGAAAATGTGTGATAGCGGTGCAGCAATGAGAGCTCTTTCTTTCATTCCTCCATCCCATACATTTTTCCAATAGGGATTTTACCCTATGACAAACTATGTCAGTATACAACAAGTTATTGCTCACATATACCCTTAAATCGTATGTAATTTGAAAGCTTATAGCTGCCCCACTACATGGAATTCTAAGCTTCCAACATCCTAATGTCAATGGCACACTATGGGCATTTTCTTTTTACACAAGTTGTAGCTGGTGCTTTCAAAGTTGGTTATAATATATATAATTTGAAAGGTAATTTCTGGATCTTTCAGAACCACTTTTCAAACTAAGTTTAAAATGTATCAGGGTTTCATTTTTAAAGCAATTTATACAGGTAATTCTGATATGTAAACTAGAGGTCAAAGTTCTGTTGACCTGAACATTCCAAAAAAGGTGTCTGATGGATAACTGTGGATCTAAACTTTCCAATTATATATATTAAAAGGGTATATGTGAGCATTAACTTGTTGTATACTGACATTGTCATAGGTAAAATCCCTATGGGAAAAATGAATGTGATGGAGGG